CCGCGCCGCCCAACCGCGGGGCCGCCCCCCGCTGCTCCAGCGCGCACGCGCGCGTAGGGGTCTCTAGCCTCGGGGCTCTCGCCTCCAACCACACCGGTCCCGACCCCGGCCCCTCCCTACCCTCTTTCTCCGCGCTTCGCTCCCCACTGCGCGCCTTGGCCATACGTCACATCCGGTAATTGGGCTTAATCCTTCCGGGTTCACATCAGGGGCTTTAAGGGTTGGGCGGAAGGAAAAGGCGGAAGTGTCGAGGACGGGTGCCTGTGGCGTCCAAACTCCTCCACTGGGCCCGCCCCACGCCGACCAGCCCTGGACTCTCATTCTGGTCCCGCGGTTGGGCCCGACGAGGCGGGCCAGGAACCCCCTTAGGAAGTGCAAGAGGCGACGCAGGTGCTCAGAGACGGTGTTTATTGGCTCCTTCGAAATCAGAGTCATGACAACTGTACAGAGGACCCAGCCCCTCCACTGCGCCGCCCTTCCCCTTTCCTGCCTGGTGCCGCAGGAAAAAGCAGCTTCATGTGGGGCACAGGGAGACTCTGGGATTCACAGTAACCAGGAACAAAAACGGAAATAAATTAAGTGATACAGGGGAGGGAGTCAGAGGGAGTCGTGTTCCCCAAATCAGTGCATGAAGAGGGGTTACCCAGGGCCTGGAGCCGGGTTCCCCACCAGCTCCTCCACTTCGAGGGAGTGTTCTGAGGCCCTGGACATGGAGATATCCTCCACTTCCCACCTAAATCTGAGCCTGCCTCCATGCTCCTGTGCATCTGCCAGAATGAGCACCATGCATGCTGTGGGTCACTGGAATGAGGTGGAGGCAGCCGTCACTCAGAGTCCACGGGCCGAGGCCCAACTGTGCTTGTCGTAGTGAGGTCTCACCCCCTCATTCCACCCGTACCAGCAGGGCATAGAGGAGCGTGGCCCCCTTCTCCTTGGTCACCCACTCCAGTTCGGCTGGGCTGAAGTGAGGGTCAGGGGGTTCTCTGAGGATAGCGGAAGGAGGGCCGGGGGTGTAGGAGCCAGGCCGCACACACACCTGGAACGCCACCTGGGCCTGGTGTGTCCGCTGAAATTTGGGGTCCCGAAATCTGTCAGGCAAAAAGCAGAAATAGGGTGGTGAGGCCTCTGGCCACAGTCACCTCTCCTAACTACAACTAGACGGGCCTTGCGAGTCCTAGGAATCACTTCTACTTTACAGGGACTGGCTCTAGCTGTTCTCTCTATTCTAAATGGCCTTCTTCCCAATGCCTGCTCAGCTAACTCCCTCACCTCTTCTCCAGCCTTTGCTCAAATCTCACCTTAATGATATCTACCCTGACAACCCTTTTTATACGCCTGCTCCAACTACACTTTCTAAAAAATGTTTTTATTTTAGAGAGAGAAAGGGGGCGGGGAGAGATAAACATCAATGATGGGAATCATTGATCAGCTGCCTTCTGCATGCCCCCTACTGGGGATCCAACTCACAACCCGGGCATATGTCCTGACCAGGAATTGAACCGTGACCTCCTGGTTCATAGGCAAATGCTCAACCACTGGGCCACAATGAGAAAGGGCTGGGTGGAGACTGAGGAACTAGCAAAACAAGGTGGGAAAGGAGAGAGCAAATCATGGAGACCCAAGTGGCCCTGGGCCCCTCCTGTGTACTTACTGCACTTTGGATGCCAGGGTCTCGGCCCCAGCATATTGGAGGGAGGGAGAAAGCAGCACTGGAGGGGGCTGCTCCTCCCGAGGAGGAGCACAGTTCTCACCCGGCTCCTCAAACCCTCCCCTGGGCTCTCCCTTCAGGGGCCGGCAGCTCAGGATGGAGGCAGTAC